ACATTTTATAATTGGGTTGTTTGTGTTTTCCATGCTGAGTTTGAGAGTTTGTTACATATTCTAAATAGTAGTCTTATTGGAGATGTTGTATACAAAAATTTTCTCTCAGTCTGTAACTTGCCTTTTCAGCCTCTTTATACGAGCTTTTGCAGAGCAAATGCTTTAAATTTTGATGAGGTTCAATTTACCAATTTTTTCTCAACCCCCCCTCCCTTTTTTCATGCTTTTGGTGTGAAGTCTGAGAAATTTCTGCCTATCCTTCCTTACATACTGATAATTCCCCCTATATTCTTATTTTCTAAACATTTTATAGATTTACATTTTACATTTAAGTCTATAGCCCATTTTGAGTTAAATTTTGTATAAGGTTTTAGTCAAAATTTTTTTTTTTTTTTTTTTTGCTTGCCTATGGATGTCCAATTACTCCAGTACCATTTGTTTAAAAAGGTATGCTTTCTTTACCGAATTACTTCGGGACCTTTGCCAAAATCAATTGGGAGTATTTGTGTGAGTCTATTTCTGGGTATTGTTTTCTGTTCCACTGATCCGTGTGTCTATCCCTCTGTCAATACCACACGGTCTTGATTACTGTAGCTATATAGTAAGCCTTAGTATGTGATCGTGACTCCTCCCACTTTATCTTCCTTTGTCAGGTTGTCCTAGCTGTTCTAGGGCTTATGCCTTTCCATATAAAATTTAGAACAAGCTTGTCTATGTGTACAGAAAACGTCGCTGGGATTCTGATAGGAATTCTATTAAACTGATAGATTAATTTGTGGAAAATTGTCATCTTTACTCTGTTGAGTCTTCTAGTTCATCAATACTATATGTCTTTCCATGTATTTCATTTTTTTTAACTTTTTAAAAAATTGATTTTAGAGACAGGAAGGGAAAGAGAGAGAGAAACATTGTACGGTGCCTCCCATACAGGCCCAACTAGGGATCAAACCTGCAACCTAGGTATGTGCCCTGACCGGGAATTGAACCTGCCACCTTTCGTTGTATGGGACAATGCTCCAATCAACTGAGCCACACCGGCCAGGGACCCATTTATTGATTGATTTCTTTCATCAGCATTTGTAATTTTCAGCATACAGGTCTTACATATGTTTTGTTAAGTGTGTATCTATTTTGTTTTCTTTAGAGTGATTGCAAATCGTATTGTGTTTTTTATTTTGGTTTCCACGTTTGTTGTAGGATATAGAAATGGGATTGATTTTTTTGTGTGTATGAATCTCGTATACTATGACATTGCTGAACTGATTTATTAGTTCTAGGTGTGTTTTGTATATTCTTTGTAATTTTATATGTATATAATCATGTCATCTGCAAAAGGAAAAAAGGTTATCTCTTCCTTTCCAATCTGTATGCCTTTTACGTCATTTTCTTGCTTCATTTTAGTAGCTAGAACACCCAGTACTACATTTAGTAAAAATGGTAAGCAAGGATATCCTTTCCTTTTTCTGGATTTTAGAAGGAAAACGTTCCATTTCTCACCCTGATATAGTTGTAGTTTTTTAATAAATACTGTTTATCACACTGAGGTAATCCCCTCATTCCTAAATTGCTAATTTTTTTTTCATTAGTATGTGTTAAATTTTGTCAGATGTCCTCTCTGCCTCAATTGAGATGATCACATGTTTTTTTCTTATTTAGCTTGGTAATAGGATATATTACACTGATTAATTTCTGAATGTTGAACCAGCCTTGCATACCTGGAATATATCCAACTTTTCCATTCATATCAGGAAGCCTGAAAAGAAGTTCCACGTAGGTGGGTGGGGCTTGTCTACTTCACTTTACAGTGTGTAGGCAGAGAGCAAGCTATCAGTACATGAAACAGTATTAACAAATTTCTCAAGAGAGATAGAACAGAGGAGAGATGTTGTCCCTAGAGTTCACACAAGGAAACCTGCTGATTACAAGGAAGATACTGTCAGCAGCAAAACCCCTGAGAGGTGTAAGCTTCAGCAAGTGAGACAGAGAAGAAAGGTGAGAAGTGGTAATGAAAGCAGAATCATTTAAAGTTCTATATTTGAAATTGTCTACATTTGCTACCTCTTTCTTTATTGTCTTCTGGGTTGTTTTGTTTTGTTTGTTGGCCTGCAGATAAGATCTTCTCTAAGTAAGTTGAAAATACGACTGGCAAAATTTGGGAAAACTAGCTTAGTGACAGGGCTTAAGAAAAAAATCCTACTTCCTTCCAGCTTTTGTAGATATCCAGATATTAAATGATTGCCTCTCAGTTTATCCACACATGTTTTCAAGATGCTATGTTGACTCAGAAGTCTAGTAGAATGTGTTATTAAATTTCTCTTAGGAAATATTGATTTATGCCAATGCTTGAAGAGACTGGTAGACAGTTTTCATCCAGCTTTTCTCTTTATTGAAAGAGTAAGAAACATCCCCCTGCTCTTTAAAGCATTCACCAGTTGGTAAACTCTTCCATTTCCTCATCTATAAATACCATACTTAAAACTTTACCTTTAATCTCTGACATTAAAGTTCCGCCTTTCCACTCTCATCTTTGTAAATTCAGTTCCATAAGGCTGAGTGTGCCTGGCACGGACATCTAAGGTAATCCAAGCCTCAGCCATAGGTAGTGAGGACCCAAGTGAAGAATGTGATAAAGCCTGGAAACAGCCAGCAATGAGTTTATCAAACACCAACACCCTCCTCCCTACCATCCATCAAGTAGGTTTACAGGGCAAGCAGAAAACAGATACAATGCCTTTTTTTTTTTTTTTAGATGAAAGGGCTCTCTGTAGCCAAGCAGGACTATATAATGGCTTTAGGTATATATCAAAGAGCAGTGCTCTTGGGGATTGGAAACAGGACCTCAGATGTCATTTATTATCATTATTGACAGATAGCCTTATTGAGTACTTCCAATGGCAGGGAAGTCACTATTGTAGGAGATTGCTTATACCATCAGAAAATATTTCTTCCATAAATAGTTCAACATATATAACCCCCTTAAAGAAGCATGGTTGTGTGTTTCAGTTTTCCCAGAGCAGTTCCAGGTTATACTTATTGTCCTGATATGATTTTTAAGTGTGCTCCTTTCATTGTCAAGAGTCTTCTGGTCATCTACCTACAAATGTCAGGTATTAGTTCTAGTTTTTTTTTTCCTGAATTTAACTACAAGAGATTCTCAATATATGAAGATACTCAGGACCCAAAAAAGAACAACACTAAAATGAATCCACTTAAAATGGGAACCAAAATCTCATGGTGAAAAGTAAAATGTCTTGACTTGGCTAGTATATTGAAAATGAAACTTCGAAGTATAAGAAAAGTGTATGTATCTTATACCACTAATAAAAATTAGGTAAGAATTGTATCTTTATACTAATTCCTAGAATTATTTTTTTTCTTAAGAGGCAAATTTTTTTAAGATATGAAATATTGATAGAACATTATGTCACATTTTAATTTTATAATATTACTATATAAAGTGGGTAACTTCTGCAAAAATAGTCAAAGGTTTCAACCATGTTCCCAAGAGTTTCTCTTAACCTTTTATTATACTAATTATTCTTATTTGAGGTCCTGATTGAGCCATCTTTGCATGCTTATCTTTCTCCACTCTTCATTTGGACAGCCATGTTTTTCAACAGCTTTTCATTGATTCTATCACTTTCATAAACTTTATAAAATCCTTCCTGATTTGGAAGATAATTTACAATTTCCCCATGCAGTACATTTACATTGATTTGCATTATATTATGGACAATTTATCAATATTAGACAACGTGGGAAAATAAAAGACAAAAATTAATGTGGCAGGTATGTTATATATCAATATTGAGCACTAAAGGTTTTATGTCTGAGCTTTTAAAACTGAGGGAATTTAATTAAAATTCAGATGTATGTTCTGTCTCTACTTTTAACAATAATAATAATAATAAGTGCCATTTTTGAACATTTACTATATGGTAGGCTCTGTGTTTGGCAGTGTGGATAGAGAACTGAATGTGTATTCCTTGATATCAACAGACAGTTTAAAAAAGCATTAAGCAAAATATAATGGGACCTACAAGCAATCAGTGATTTCCTAGTGGTTGGGATATTTGAAGAAAAGTAGAGTTAGCCATGTAGAAATGTGGGTGGTGGAAGGAGGTACCAGGCAGAGGGAGTGAATGACCTGTAGGAAGTTCAAAGATGAAAACAGCAGGTCACTTTCTCAGAGTTATATTTTTTTCAAAAATGAGTAAAGCATGGTATACAAAGGAACAGTGGCAAGGAATGGGACTAAAAAAATTGTCAGAGCTAAGCATTGGCCCAAAAGTACAACCAAATAAAACCAAGCTATTGTGGCTGAATAAGAATTGAGAGTCTGCCTACCCAATCAGATAGCCCTAATGATCACCCATAGACTATGGTACTGAGGCACCTACTTAAAGTTCTCTAACCCACTGTTTTTTCCACAGTATATATGCTGCTTTCATATTAGCAATAACTAGTTATATTGGCCTAATAAAAAAGAGATTTTGTGGATATAAATACATGTAAAGATGATGATAGATGATGATGATGATGAAGATAGATAGATAGATAGATAGATAGATAGATAGATAGATAGATAGATAGGTGATAGATAGACACAGACAAAGATAGAGATAAAGACAGGCATATTTTTATGCAAAATATTTCTGAGTGTTCCAATTTGTGTTATTTTACTTCCTAACACATGGAGAGCACATCCATAGTCTTGACTATCTTCAATTTTTATCTCTAACCAGCTAAGATGAGCTCGAGCCCACCTTTCAAATGTAAAATTATTCCGGCAAGTTATTTTGGCTGAAGTTTTTATAAAGCAGGGCTTCAGTTAGCCAAGAAAATAAGACTTCTCAAATATGACCTTGAATATGACTGATTATAAAATTTTATATGAAAGAACATCTTGTAAATCATAACTTCGACTTGTCCTGTCTTTTCAGAAAATGAGAAAAAGCTTTTTTACTGTAAAATTATGTAAATCTGAGGAAATAGCCTACCTTGTGTAACTGAGTATCTTAGGTCAAATTCCCTTGAAGCATACTCTGTGACAGGTGCTTGAATACGCATGATGAATTGATGCAGTGCTCTGGACAGACAGTCCTGGAAGGGAAGGAGTGAAGCAGGGTAGAGGGGGGTAAGAACTGAGCAAGAATGTGGTCTTAGAGTCAAAAAGTCTCTGGAGTGTAAATTGTACCAAAGAGCTGTATTCCCTTGAGGCAAGGGCTTACCTTTTGTACTCTCATATCATTCAGCAATTGGGCCTTCCTTAGATGAAGGATGATATTTAAGAACCCCTCAAGTAAAAGCAATTTATACAAAGTAGAAGGTCACTGGCGAGCGTTTACAGCCGACATTCACAGCAGCCTACTAAAGAGGACTGGGTAAGGCACCAAAACACAGTCTGCCCCTTGGACTGCCCAAATCCACTTGTTTCTCACATTCCATTCACTCTCTTCATCATCCAGGCATAGCTACTCTAGGACTCTATGGTCACAATTCCTAGGGAGATTTTCAAAGGGTCAGACTTCAGTACCTGGTGTTGCAGTTAGGCTCTAGACCATAATTGCATTATTATCTTCAACCTTTACCTTCAATTCTAGACTTATCTCATTCTTAGCTTATACATTTCTGCTCTTTAAGTGGCCTACCTGACAGGATGACCAAGATCCTCACCACTAAAGGATCTGAGGCCTTTACAAGGCCATGGTTTCTGTCCTTGACCATTTACAGTTAAACTGAGCATAGGAATACTAGGGGATACCCTAGTAAATTAAGGTGGCACCTCGGGTTTCGAATGTAATCTATTCCAGAAGACCATTCAAGCTCTGAAACATTCAAAAACCGAGAGATCAACAGCCAACAGGTGGGCCTCAGGATCTTGCCCTCAGTGGAAGCCGTGTGGCATGTTCAACTTCCAAGGCATGTTCGAAAACCGAAGCATTTACTTCTGGGTTTATGGCGTTAGTAAACCGAAATGTTCATCAACGGAGACATTCAAAAACCGAGGTGCCACTGTACCTTAATGCCAAACATATTGTTTTCTGCCCCATTATGTGGCAGCATTCCTACTACTTAGGATGATCAGTGATAATTACCCCTGCCAGTGTGGTAGCTCCTTTCTGTGCTTACTGGTCTACTGGCATGAGAGGGGCATCAGGCAGCAACCTTACCTTTAAATTGAGTGAAACTCTATGTCTTCTTTTGGAAGATCTCTGCATCTGAGAACTTGGGGGAATGGGAAGAACAAGTTCCCCCATGAGGTCTCTGGAGGTTATAAAGAGCAGGACCACTTCTACTTCCACCCTTTGGTTCCCAGACTCATATATTCTACCCAGTTGGGACTCAGTCCCATATAAAAACCACCCCTCTACTTGTGCTTCGACATTCTAAGAGCTAATGGAATTTAGATATGGCACTGGAGAAACTGGGAGGGTGAGTGTCTTTGACTGGTCCCTCCAAAAGAGAACCTGAGGTAGGGGTGTAAAAGTAAGAGGCTTTTTTTGTGTAGTGATTACAGGAAGCCTCATAGAAGAATGGGGAAATGAAATAGGGAAGAGAAGGGAACTCGTATGCATGCATTAATAAAGAGGTTACTGCTATGAGCAATTTTGAGTCAATCCCAACAGCGACCTATGGAGAGATTGTGGAATATACCTCAGAGTTTTCCACCTCAGGGGCTAGGAAGCTAGAGTATTTATTCTCCAACCCCCATCAATAATTTGCTGAGGGATACTCTTCATTACTTCCATTTTGCCTTCCATGTGGGTGACTGGGAGAGCCCTAAAGTAGAGAGTTGTAGAAGTTTGCAGTAAGACACTGCTGGTATGTATGGAAGTGGTGAATGTCAAGGAGATATGGTGGGGGCACCAACAGAATTTATTGAAAGTAAGTACCCTAAAAGCATGAAATTAAGTTTCTACCGCCAATGGAACAGGAGCTTGTAAACAGATATTTAACCTGAATTACTTAAGGGGAAAGAAGTTACATTTCTTATATTTTGTTGATGATCATTTATAAACTTTACAATTGCATTCAGAGTTCACTTTGATATGGGAAAATAAATTCATAATGTTGTTACTCACCACCAGAGCCATGGGAAGAATGGCTGGTCTGGAACTGACAATTTGCAATATGGCTCCCAATGGGCCTCATTTTCTCCCTTGGTGAAAAGGCAAGCACCTAATTCCAAGGAGCTTAGTTTCTGTAAAAAGCATTAAAGTTCTAGGGTAAGAGGAACTATAAAGTGACACCATAAAGGTTGACAGATGTCAATATACTGGTAAAGAAGTACAAATGGTACATATCAGAACTGCATTAGCCAGACTCTGTAATCACAGATATTTAATAAAATTAATTTAACAGCCAATAATCCAAAATTGTAAAAGCACATGTGAGAATCAAATAAAGTGGAATAAGATCAGAGTGCGTTTTAGATTCTTAAGAAAATTATGGACTAATGATTTCTGCAGCAACCTTATGTCAAAACAACCCCAGACCTCATAAACCCTCTGGACTGAGTCTGAAACTCTAAAGCAAACCAGATACAGAATTTTCTGTGACTGGGTCACACAGTGGGAATAATCACAAAAAGATACAACTTATAATAGAATGAATATAAGAGTATGTAGTCAGAAGATCTGAGGTTTGGTTTTATCTTCAGCACTTACATGACTTAAAAAACTTGAGGAAGTTTCTATGCTTTGCTGAATCCATTTTCCGTAACTAATAACAATGATACCTTCCTATAAACATTATTGCAGGGTTATAGCAACTGAGATAATAAATATAAAAGTACTTCATAAATCACATATGTTCAACATGATTAAGGCCTTAGTTTATGTTTCAGTGATAAAAGTGCAAAGCAGAGACAATTAACCAGAACAACAAATAAAAATCTCATACTGTGAAATTAGAAAGCAAAGATGGATTCTCAGAGTAGAGGTAATTTTGTGTAGACTTTTGAAAAAACAGGAAATTTTGTCTGTACCACTGTGACTTCTAGTTCTATTTATCTAGTCCTCCCTCCTCCTAACACATGAAAGGATTGCCTTTCCCTTACCATGTGGAATTGGATGGAGCTATGTGACTATTTTAGGCCAATAGTCTGTCAGCAGAAGTGATGTCTGACTCTACTGGACTAAAACTTTAATTGCCAATTCAAAGCCTGCCAACATTCTCTTCCCCTACTAAGATGACTGAGGAAGCCTCAGCTCAGATGATGGAACTAAAAGATCCAAGCTGCCTGGAAAAGTGAGTTGCTAAATGGAAAACATTGCCCTGGAGAGTCATGTAGAGCAACAACAGATTTTGCATGAGGAGCAAAATAAAGCTCTATGAAACTTTGAGTTTGTTTTGTTTTATTGATTTTTGTTACTGCAGCATAACTTGGCCTATTCTGACCAGTACAATCATTGAGATAACTGTCAGGGGCTTCTGAGTTCCTATAGATGACACAACCACAGAGTTTTGCAAATGATTAACTTTAGATATCTGTATTTCATAAATACTATTAATCAAGAAAATTTCTATATTATTCAAACCCTTCAATTCACTAACTATCTTTAGGCTGTATTTTCACAATACTAGTAAAATTGGTTGGCTTAGTAAATTCAACTTAAAAAGTTACTTCCCTTCATGAATGTTCTTCCATAGATATGTTTACAGAGTCACTATTGAATTTTTCCACTATCCAAAATTTATTTTATATTATTTATAAAATAAGTAGCATAGTGCACCTGGCCAACTGCAAAGTGTTTCCCAAGACAAGAGGATAAAGATGATTTTGTTATTATTTATTTATAATCCTGCATTTTTCTGAAAGGATCTGGGACACAAATGATGAATTAATTTCCAATTTCCTTCACTGGTCTTATTTATTCCATAGCAAACTGCATCACTGTGAACCAGTTACAGAGGGCCTAGAACTAAGTATAATGGCATTTTATCCATCCATTTATATATATTGTAAAATATGGATTATAAATCAGGAGAATGAGTACCCATTAATGTCTCTACTATTACCATAAAATCTCCATGACTTTAGGAAAATTGTTTACATTGTATTATTATTTCTATATCTATAAAATTAGGAATGTTGGCCATTCCAAACATACACTATTGGGAGAGGCAGGTATCACTGGAGAAAGGGTGTGGGAACTTGTATAGAGAAAAAGAAAACATTCCAAAGGGTGTTCAGCTCATTAGAAAAGACTTGAAAAGTAAAATCAAAAGAATATTTTATTTCAAATTGCAGTGGTTTTTAATGTCTCTTATTTTTAAAGAATTGACTGGAAGACAATAACTGCCACTTAGAGTGGAGAAGGGTTGGTCAGAGGTGGATTTCTGAAGGGGACACTTTGATTCCCACATGGCTTTGGAGCTGGTCTCTTAAATGCAGATCAGTGTCACTCACCTTTGGGGTATGTAATTTGAGAAACATCGACATAAGAGAGAAACATCAACTGGCTGCCTTCCCTACATGCCCGACTGGGTNATGCAGATCAGTGTCACTCACCTTTGGGGTATGTAATTTGAGAAACATCGACATAAGAGAGAAACATCAACTGGCTGCCTTCCCTACATGCCTGACCGGGGATCGAACCTGCAACCCAGGCATGTGCCCTGACCAGGAATCAAACCAGCAACCTCTAGGTGCACAGGGTGACAGATGACACTCGACTAATTGAGCCACTCCAGCCAAGTTTGGAGTTCTGTTTTTGACCTTTATTCATGGTGAAGACTGTGGTACCTGACCAGGAGCAGCAACATCACCTGGGAACTTTTTAGGAATCTACTGAATTAAAAACTTGGCGTGGGGCAAGGCAATCTGTTATAATAAGTTCTGCCTGTGGTCCTGATGCATGCTGAACATGCATGAGAAACATTGAACAAAAGGGTCTTTCCTTAGAACTCTTCAAAAAACACCCTGGTCCATTAAATGTATTCCAGCATTCAGAAATCAGATATCCATGAGTACCTATAAGACGTTTTCTAACATTCAGACTCATATTTTCTGATTCTCTTAGATTAAGATCTGACTCCCTAAATTTCAAAATGGAACCAGTTTCTATGTTTAAGTAATAGACCCTTAAAAATATGGGATTTATATTGGAAGTGCTGACAAAATCTTAATGATAGCATTGCAAATGGCGATGCTATAATTAAGCTTCGATCTCCTTTGGAAAAAAAAGGAGGAGAGAACGTGAGGAAGGAGGTTACTGTTCAATGAACTGCTCTGTCATTTGCCGCAGTGATTCTTAATTGTGTCTCATTACGGCAAGATGATCATTACTCTACTTGTCTGTCTGATTTAGAGACCACTAAAAGTGTCTTGTAACACACAGCCGTCTCCCTTGCAACAGTCCTTTGGCTCTCACCCTCATTACTCAGAATCTGTCCAATTATTTGTCATTAAAGTAATAAAAAGGACTGCAGCAGAAAATGTGGGAGGTAACTGTTGGAGGTTTGCCCGGGGAAGGAAGAAAAAATGCAAACTGTTTTCAAGGCACTGGGAAGGTGACATCGTTAATTAAGTGTTAGGGAATATGCAAATCAGCCCCACTCTCAAGAGACTGTAATAAAACTGAGAAAACATTATTATCACTGCAAGTAAGAGAAGGCTGTGTTACCCCATCTGGAAGACTGTGTCATTTTCTGGTGGAGACTCAAACGAGAAGGGAAGGGGGCTGGGAAAGAGATAAAGGTGGAGGTGTTCAGGGCCATTGAGTGTGCTCAGGCTGTTAAGCGTTCGGAATTAAGGTATCAACACGGAAGGCCAGTGGATTACAACTTTTAATGAGGGCTGTTTGTCTAATCACAGGATTTGCACACCCAATTTCCTCTGCAAAATGACTTACAACTCATCAGCAGGCAGTGTTTTTGTAGGTTAAAGGAAGGGGAGAGGAAATGTGGGGGAGGCTAACAGCTGGCATAGTAGGCATCTTGGGTGCTGTTTTAAAGGTGGTAATGAAGCAAAGCACTTAGAGGTACGTGGACACTTGCTTATTTATTTAAAATATACCAAGCGCCAAAAGGGACCTCTGGACCGTTGGTCAGGCTGAAACCTCTGCCTGGGATGCCTTTTCTCCATCCTCTGACATCATATTACCCTGGCCAACTCATTGCTTATCTTTGAAGTTTATAGCGTCAATTCCTCATGAAAGCTATGCCTTATTTCAACTCCAAATCAGTATACCAAAGCAAAAAACAGTGTGCTTGCTATGCAAACATAACTTCAAGACAAGTTCTCTCGCTTCCGTATTCCATCCAGGTTGCAGATATCAACATAAAACCTTCCTGTATGGAAGTATTGGAGCCCAACCTGACCCTAGGGGTTCCCAGGCAGACTTTCATTTGATCACAAGGAAATTAAAGTCTTCTTAGTAGCCTTTAGGAAAAGTTATATTGCATAGTACATTAGTTAATAACTGCTGTTAACAAACCATCCCAAAACTGAGATACTTAATTATTACTCTAGAGTCTATATATATGTCAGCTGGGTCTGTGCGCTTTGGTCACCTGGGGGTTGGGTTAGGTGACTCTGCTATTAAGTGGGTTGGCCTTGCTCACATGTTTGAGTATCTGTTGTCTCTAAGTTCTCTGAGAAAGGGCTTCATTTGGACAACTGAGCTCTCCTTCATGGCATCTCTAACCCTCTGGTAGGCTGCTGTATGCTCGTTCATAGGCTGGTGGCAGGGTTCTGAGAGGGTGGAAGCATTTTATCAGCCAAAGGATTAATTCTAGAATCAAGAGATGGAAATTCACTCCACCACTTGATGGGAGGAGCTACAATGCAGGGCTTGAAGACAGGTAGGCTTGAAGAACGAAGGTACTCAGTTCCCATTTTGGGGCATGGACAGAGCTGAATATCCTCAACTCTATGAATCATGGGAGGATCTTATTTATGCCAAGAACTCTCTCAAGAGGCTATAATAAAACTGAGAAAATGGGTTCTTCTCAACCACAGAATGAACTTCCTTGCTGTATTAATTTCCTGAGGCTGCTGTAATAAATTACCACTAAACCAGTGGATTGAAAATACATAAATTTATTCTCCCACAGATGTGAAGGTGAAAATCCTGAAATCTTACTCTTCTAAGTACCTTTGTCATTGTATTTAGGTATCTGAACAAAGTACGCTCACTCCCTCCTCAGTCTTGCTGATGT